TGATGTAAATTCATAAGTGACACAATTACATTCAATTATAAAATTCACAAAACTATAACGGTAATAATAATTATTGTATCATTTAATACATATTCATAATCATATCAAATCCACTAATTCATACATTAAATTATTGAATGACATTTAACCATGCACGAAACTATTGTGACGGTTATGAGATTTAATCATATATAATGCAATTGTAACGGTTCAATTTCAAATAAAAAGTAAACTAATAGTTATCAATAATCAAAACGTAATAAAATTGAACATATGACATTATTGCTTAATCAAAAAGTAAACTAATTGAGAAGAATGCATTACAATTGAACATATTCAAAACGTTATCAATAATCAAAACATTAATTTTTAATTAACAAAATTGAGAAGAATGCATTTAATTTCTTCTCAATTTCAATAATCAAAACGTAATAAAATTGAACATATGAAATTATTGCTTAATCAAAAAGTAAACTAATTGAGAAGAATGCATTACAATTGAACATATTCAAAACGTAATAAAATTGAACATATGACATTATTGCTTAATCAAAAAGTAAACTAATTGAGAAGAATGCATTACAATTGAACATATTCAAAACGTTATCATTAATCAAAACATTAATTTTTAATTAACAAAATTGAGAAGAATGCATTTAATTTCTAATAATCATTACTTTTTATTTGCATTCAATTTTCAGAATATTATTGAACATATGGAAATAAAATATATTATACCCTGTTATCAAAAAAAAAAAAAATATATATTATACCCAAAACAAAATTGCTAAACTTATAACCTTTCATTTAAGGGTTATGAGATTTAATCATATATAATGCAATTGTAACGGTTCAATTTCAAATAAAAAGTAAACTAATAGTTATCAATAATCAAAACGTAATAAAATTGAACATATGACATTATTGCTTAATCAAAAAGTAAACTAATTGAGAAGAATGCATTACAATTGAACATATTCAAAACGTTATCAATAATCAAAACATTAATTTTTAATTAAAAAATTGAGAAGAATGCATTTAATTTCTTCTCAATTTCAATAATCAAAACGTAATAAAATTGAACTTATGACATTATTGTTTAATCAAAAAGTAAACTAATTGAGAAGAATGCATTACAATTGAACATATTCAAAACGTTATCAATAATCAAAACATTAATTTTTAATTAACAAAATTGAGAAGAATGCATTTAATTTCTAATAATCATTACTTTTTATTTGCATTCAATTTTCAGAATATTATTGAACATATGGAAATAAAATATATTATACACAAAACAAAATTGTTAAACTTATAACCTTTCATTTAATTGCAAGCATAAATCATTGCAATATGTAGCATAAAATTAATAGCAATATAAAAGGCAAAATTAATTACACATATTCTAATACACAAACAAAATTATCAGCTTTAGAATAGTATTAAAATGCTCAAAGGAAAACTGCCATCTAAGCTTTATAGTGGAGAAATAAAATAATTTATGATGACTGCCAAAGAAAAATCATAACAGAATATGGGCTTACCTAATAATTCATTACAGTACGATCAGTATCAAACTAATTATGGTTACCAAATCCCGAATCAAATATATAGAGAAAGATTTACCACACGACTACTGTGAAAGAAAAATCATAACAAAATCTCTTTCCCAAAACAATAAAGGTCAAACATACATATAAGTATAACACATAATATGATAACTTTAAATTCATCATAATATAATATAAACGGATCATGAATTTATGTGCGTTTATAGTGAAGAATTAATTACCTGTAAAAGATAAGAACTGCTCAAGATGGTTGGGACATACAATCTGCATACACATTTAGCTTCCTCATCATATAAAGGGTATGAAGGGTCATAAACCTATTTGCCAGGTAACCAGTTGCAACTTCATACAAGCTTTCTGTCATTACTAGAAATGGTTGCATAGCTTAATGGAAGATATTATGTGTTTAGAACAAGTGCTTTTCTGACAGGGTGCTACCAAAAACCTTGATAAAAGCAAATTTAGGATTTCTAAAATAAGAGGATCCATGAAACAAAGATGAATGAAGGATCCATGATAACTTGTTGTAAAATCAACATCAACATCAACAACACCTTTATCCCAAATTAATTGGGGTCGGTGGTAGATGAACCCACATGAAAGATACAAAACGGTTGAAAAAAAGTAAAAATAAATAAAAAATAAAAAATAAATAAATAAATAAATAAAAATACACAAATAAAATAATAAAATAAAATAAAATGAAATAAAAATATATGTATATATAAATAAATAAAAGTAAAAAAGAAAGGGACAAGAAGAAGTGGGGGAAATGAAGGGGAAAAAGACTAAAAAAGGACCATCTGGAACATAGGAATAACTTGTTGTAAAATAAAGGAAAAAAATAGAGATAAGAGAGAGACAAGGGCATATATTTTTTTTGTATTATCATTTTCTTTAATGCCTCTATTTATACGCTCATAAGACAAGGACAGTTACACTATGATAAATGATCACAATTACTTATTCAGTGGTTACAGTACATTTAATGGTCATAACGGTCATGGACAACCAACAATCAATATTATTTATAACAAAAAATACTTATTTCTATAAATATTTTATAGAACAAATTTAAGGGGGAAAAAGGATAGGTTATTCTTCCTACTCTTATTTTGCCTACCTTTGCCTATCCCTTTCAACACCGTTCGATTACAATCTCATCCTACGTTAGATATTTGCGGAATAAAATAAATATTTTTCCCCCTTTTCTTTCTCTCTCCTCCCTTGTCTCCCCTCCCTTGGTTGAATTTCCTCTCCTTTACTTTTTGCGTGAAAAAATAATTCCTTTCTGACAGTTAAAGAATTACTGGTGTGGTGTTAATATTGGGGGTTTCTGAATTCTGTGTTTGATTGGAGTTTACTGCTTTAGAATTGGGTCTGTTTGAAATTGTGTGTTTTTGAATCATGGTCTCTACTTTAAGAAACAAATTATAAGATGGAAATGGGTGTGTGTCTGTGAAGAGAAGTTACACAAAGAACTGTTTTCGTAACCAAAGTTTTCGCGTCCCACCATACATATTATTTTGTTTGTTTTTTTCTAAAAAAGATTAATTTATGTGAATCATCGATGAAAAAATTGCATCATCAATACAATAACATCGAAACAAAATACAAATAAACACAATACAACAATATCGAAACATTCAAATAAACGAATAGACAAATAAACGAATCAGATCCCAACACATCATTCATCAGTTTCTATATGCTCAGTGAAATTAAGTAAGACCCGCTCTATGAACCCTAAGAAATAAGCATCTGTTGGATATTTTTGTTTAGTTATAGGCAAAAGGAGGTTTTTTAATTGATAATCGTATGTGTTTTTTGTTCTTTTTTTATCGAGTTTTTCGTTTTGGAAGAAATGATTTTGGTTACCGGAATTTTTCAATCTTAGTTGCTAAGGAAGAGAGAAAGGAGAGGAGAGAGAAAGGGTGTGGGAGAAAGTGAGGAAAAAGAAAAGGAAAAAAATGTTTATTTTATTCCACAAATATTTATGGTAGGATGAGATTGTAATATGTTGAAAGAAGTAGACAAAAGTAAACAAAATAAAAGTAGACAGAATAACCTATGCTTGAAGAAAAAAATCAAAATACTATAAAACAGATCCTAAAATAACTCCCGAGGAGATGGGTGTATATTTGCCCGGGGGAGTCAATATTCGATGGAGATACATCTTGCGTTACCCCCGGGGGAGTCAATATTCGATGGAGATACATCTTGCGTAACACGACATAATAGATATTAATTAGCTCTCTACATAAACGCACACCCATCACACACGTGACTTGAACGCTTAGTACCCATAGAAAGTTAGAATCGTCGAAAGGCCTCTATGATACGATATTCATGCCAATAATAAATTATTTTTAGTTGAGAAGTTTAGAACAAGTCAATAACTCCGACTATGGCATTGAATCATGGGAGGCAGGAACATGTTATCACTTATCACAATGAAATGCATTCACATTGGTTCGACAAATTTAATATAGTATTTGGTCAATAACTTGACTGTCAAGGATTTGCTTTTTCTTTCACTATTTGTGTGCATGCTTTTGACTATCGATTCTTCTTTCATGGAATGGGGACCATTAATTGCCACATGGCAGTGTATGAGTTACGGTGACTACTGACTCCGGATGACTATTGAATGTTATGATAATTACAACCTCATTTTCCCAAAGTAGAAAAATATAGGATAAGGTTGGAAATAAGTATAAATGTAACAATAATGTAAAAATATTATTTTTTATCATATTTAATAAAAAATTGTACGAAGCACAGGATATAACGGGAGTATTGAAAATATTTTCGATAATTACAACCTAGTGAATAAAAGGTGGCGGCTGAGGCTTTACCTTGTCTCACCTTAAATGTTTAAACAGGAACACTGACCATCATTGTGTCATTGTCTGACAAAAAATTATAAGAGTGTTACGTTTAACAGTAAATTAGTAAATTTTGTCGGAGTGTCACGTGAAATAATATGTTTGTAAATAATTTGTTACACAGTGTAGCAAATTATGCCACGTCAGAATGCACAATCAACAAGAATGACACATGTCAAGATTCGCTACCCTATGTAACAAATTATGTTCGCATATAATTTTTTAATACGTGACACACTTTCGCAGGAAAAAACTAATGTGTCATAATTCGCTGCGACTAGTAGCGAATTTGGTCTGCAATATGACAACGTGTCACGAAATTATTGGCTACGAAATTCGCTACTAGTTATAACAAATTATAACACGTGACATTCTGACAAAAAATATTATTCACATGATAATTTATGTAAAAAAAATTGATAAAACGTGACATTTATTTAAACACCTTCCTAGAAACTTCCATGTCACCAAAAAATAGGGTACTTTTTCTAAATTATATAATGATGGGATAATTCCCATTCAGCAAGCCTCTGCCGATTACTCCTCACTCTTTAGTTCGATGTTATAATTCTTCGAGGTACTCTGCCTCAAAACTTCAACTAGGTTCTATCTATCAGAGAGTCTGTTTGTTTCTTCCCTATTCATTTTGATTGATTCATTTCTTGTTCATTAAAATCTGGAATTCATATTATTCAAAAGGAGTAGGGGGGTCTGTGTTGTTTAGGTTTCTGAAATTTGTTCCGTGTTTTTTTTTTTACTGTTTGTTTGTTGATCTCACTTTGTTCAACATATTATTAGTTTTACTACTTGATCTGTTCATGTTCTGTCTTTGGAACCGCTGAGTGATCAAAGTTTCAGCCTAGTAAAAGATTTTTGCTCCTCGGGAAAAAAATCTCCGTCTAGATCTCAGTAAAAACAACATGCTTTCTACAGATTCCCTTCTGGAAAATTTTCCTGGTTCCGTGAACCGATGTATATTTGAAAACGGTCCTATCTCGGTATGTTTGAATCAAAACCCAGGAACTGGTTTAAAGTTGGAAGATTCATCATCATCTCCTTCAAACCATTCAGAATCCCCTAGTGATTCTGATCCTTCTTATGTTACAAGCTCAAATGGAGAATCTGCAGAGAGTACTAAACATTCCAATCCCATTCTGAGATACATAAGCGACATCCTCATGGATGAAGAAGATGACCTAGAGCGCAAACCCTGCATGTTGCAGGATTGTTTGAGACTCCAAGCTGCTGAAAAACAATTCTATGACGTGCTGGGTCGTAGCTATCCTTCGTCACCCCGCCAACTCCATGGTTGTTACCCTGATGATAACCCTGACCCAGGTGATAATTTTGGTAGATCTACTAGTTCTGATAGCAATAGCAGTTACACCACTGATAATTCCTATGAGTCTGATAATAGGGTTAACAGTGGTGGTGATTTTGAGTCTTCTTTCCTGCAAAGGTCTTTAGTTGATTCCCCAGAAAACACCTATGATATTGGTCCTGCTCCATTTAGAGAGACACTAGCTGGTCTTCATTTTTCAAATTTAAATGGAGCCTGGAATATCATTCATTCAGAGAGCAAGCCATGGATGATTGAAGAGAGTGTGATGCAGGGTTCCACAGCAGCCGGAGGACCAAGGGAAAAGAGAAGCCATCATATGGATGATATCTCACATGAAGAAGTGGAGAGAGGAACCAAGCTTTCAGCTGTATACTCTGATGATTCAGAGCCATCAGAAATGTTCGATGAGGTACTGCTTTGTCGTGATGGTAAAAGTCCATCCATTTTTGAGAATGGTCGCGAATCATCACACGTTGCTGACTCAGGAGGGTCTAATGGAAAGACAACACGTTCAAAGAAAGGTTCCAACAAGGGAACAAGTACAAGTACAATGGTAGATTTATGGACTATGCTAACTCAATGTGCACAGGCAGTGGCTAGCTATGACCAAAGGAATGCAAGTGAAATACTGAAGCAGATTAGGCAGCACTCTTCACCTTTTGGTGATGGACTTCAGCGTTTGTCTCATTACTTTGCTGATGGCCTTGAGACACGATTAGCTGCTGGAACACCAAAGTATATGCTCTTGTCTGCATCTGCTGCAGATATGTTAAAAGCTTACAAAGTATACATCACAGCATGTCCATTTGTCAGGATGTCAAATTTCTTGGCTAATAGAACTATTTTGAAGCTAGTAGAAAATGAAAGCAGTCTTCACATTATTGATTTTGGGATTTCCTATGGTTTCCAGTGGCCTTGCCTTATTCAGCGTCTTTCAGAAAGGCCAGGTGGGCCTCCAAGGCTTCGTATTACAGGAATTGATCTTCCTCAATCAGGGTTTAGGCCTGCAGAAAGGGTTGGGGAGACAGGGAGGCACCTTGAAAAGTACTGCAAGAGGTTCCAAGTCCCATTTGAGTACAATTGCCTTGCACAGAAATGGGAAACTATAAAAGTTGAGGACCTCAAGATTGATAGAAATGAAGTAACTGTGGTTAACTGTTTGCACAGATTGAAGAACCTATCTGATGAAACTGTGACTGTGGACAGTCCAAGAGATGCTGTGTTAAGGTTGATCAGGAGGATAAATCCAAACATCTTCATACATGGGGTTGTCAATGGCACTTATAATGCACCATTTTTCCTGACTCGTTTCAGGGAGGCACTCTTCCATTTTTCAGCATTGTTTGATATGTTTGAGGCTAATACACTTCCTGAAGATCCATATAGGCTGATGTTTGAGAAAGGGATATTTGGAAGGGATGCTGTGAATGTCATAGCTTGTGAGGGGCCACAGAGAGTTGAAAGGCCAGAGACCTATAAGCAGTGGCAGGTTAGGAACAAGAGAGCAGGGTTCAAGCAACTTCCACTGGCTCCACAACTCTTGAATAGTATGAAAGAAAAGATTAAGAAGGAACATCATAAAGATTTTGTAGTCGATGAGGATGGCAAGTGGGTTTTACAAGGATGGAAAGGCCGTATTCTTCATGCTCTTTCTTCTTGGGTTCCTGCTTAAAAAATGACCACCAAATGAATCCTAACCTACTCTTCCCCTTGGACAATAAAAAAAAAAAGGTTCCTTTACAGCAGCTTAGGGTGTATCTATTCTTGAAATTTAGTGAGTTAAGATAATATACTTTAAATTCTAGAAATATTTGTAGTGTGATATTTTTCTTTTTCTTTCTCCATCTGAGTTTATATTTTAGATATTGATGTTAAATTTGCTTCCTAGCTTGTATAACATGACAGCTGCATCTGGCTAAGAGTAGAAGCCGATTGGATAAGGATATCTAATTAATATCTCCATTCATTTACTCATTTTCCAGAGATATGTATAGATGTAAAATAGAATGATGTTAGCAGTTAAATATATATCCTCCTTCAATGCTTACTGCTACACTGTGAACTATATTTTCTCTCTTTTGTTCCAAGTGGTAAATCATTCCCCCACTAGAAGTTGCTAACCATTGGTTAGACTCATTTCAAAACGGATTTAATAGAATTTGTCATATTGAGAAATATCGAGAGTTCAAAAATTCAATAATTACAATCTGGCAAGTGCTCAAGTCCATCCCTTGCTAACTTTGGTTGTAGCATGACTTCCTACTTCAGTTTGACTCTTTCCCCCAATATTTGTGCAAAAGGTTTACTTGGGAGTCAACTAGTTGATAGGTAGCCAACCCATACCATTCAAAAGTGCTACTGCCATTGCCTATTTTAATAATCTTGTTGGATAATTACCCCAATGGTTTCTTCACCATCAACATAGCACATTTTATACAACAACAAAAATTCTTGATGAGTTTTGTGAATATTCCTGTACGTTATAACTTGTCACGGATTTAGCTATTTATGGGTGGGGGGGAACCTGACGAGAGTTGCAAAGTTTTGATTTTATACATTTTGATGCTTAGGAAAAACTAGAAAGTGAAAAGTAAATAAATTATGTAAAACAAATTGTATTTTCCAAATTCATTCGAACTGTGTTCAATGTAAGGGTGATATTTGTATTCTAACTCGTACTAGAATAAAGTCCAAAATAGTCTAATTAATATAAAAAGAATCCGACAGAAAGGGGTAATTCGATATGACAATAGAACACTAACATAGACTATCAATTGAAAAAATATTCTATCTGCATCTTGATAAATCCTGAAGCTTTAAAAAAATAGTTGAAAAATATGTCGATTTAACAAAAACACCAGAAAACAGGTTAACAGAGCAACTAAAGAAAACCGATCTGAGAGAGACATAAACATGTTAACAGAACCAAACCTCTACCATGATTTGCTCTTACAATCAAACAACTCATCCTATTTAGCTTGACACTTGGATGGTCTAAGAACATTCCAATCTAGCTTATCTCCCATCGGTTTATTGAAATTCTTGGGCGATGATTGTCTATTACCTTGGTCATTCTTGGGTAATTTGTTAGGATATTGTGCTTCACAGTTTAATTCCACCTGTTTCCTTTTAACATTGCCATTAACCTCAGATTTTTTTTTGTCCAAGTTAGAACATTCTGGACCTTCTACCAAAGAGCTATTTTCTCTGAAAAAAATGCAAATAGAATCAAAATTAAGTTCAGTGAGCGATAATCTGAGGAAATTTTGTCTTCACACTGTCTATTAATCGAGCCAAATCCATTAAGTATATTTGAAACGAAAACAGTAACTAGATAATCTCCTGACACATTTTTTGTGGGTAATCCACCTGTAAATTTTGGCAAAGAAACCCACCTAAAACAAACATTTCCACTTTGATTTCTAGAAATAGTAGTTTCAGCAGCTGGCTGACCAAGTCTTGCTTCTTCCTCATCATTTAGTTTCTACAAAGGCAAGGCTTTGGCATTAGAACATAATCGAAAGAAAGAACAGAAAATCTAAATTGACTAGAGGAATATGGAAAGAACTTTGAAACTCATGATCTTCATACTCACATCAACAGAAGGATTAAAACTTTGAAATGACATTCGACCTTTAAGTGCACTTGGGTGGGGATCACCTTCAATTATAACCACACTGCATAAATGTAGAGAGCAGGCAAATTAAAAAAATAAAAAATAAAAATCAGCATAAGGATAAGATAAATTACAGATCAGAGACAATTATATACCAAAGTTGCAATGATAAAATTTGATATGCAATTTGGGAAGCATTAAATGCAAAACAACCACTTAAAATAATAGAGAAACTTATTTCCATGAGTGAGACTGATACGAACCTACAGCGACACAATCATCTCATTTAGACTGAGCTCTTGTATTGTATGCATTACACTATATGTCAGAGAGTTGGTTAGGTTGAATAATACCAAATATCTATGTTGCCAACAATTAGAAACCATTCATTGGTAAATATTGAAGCATTACATATAAATTGAATAGTCTAGAGCATTGTTGTCAAAAACTAGTATAAAAACGTAAAAACTTATGTTTTTACTAGAGTGGTGCGTGTTAAAACGCAAGTAAAAACTGTCCATGGTAAAAACTGATAAAACGTGTAAAAACATAAAAACAGTAAAAACTTTTTATCGTTTGACCGTTTTTACTTAAAAATATTTTTTTTTTTAAAGATTTACAAAAAGAGAAATTAGAAAAAACTCAAGTTTCGTTTCCCTCAAATTATATGCACAATATCTTGATATCTTTTTGTTTGGATATATGTCTTTTATCATTATGTCTTATAAAACTACAATTCTATTATAAGTTATGCTATGAGAATCGTTTTGTATTTTTAGATCATTGTGTGCATTGAAAGAAGTTGAATTATATCCTGATGAATGATGATCCAAAATCTACAGAGTGTATGAAGCAGTTAGAGAAAATTGGTTATCCATTACTTGTTACTTGTTAGTTATCACTGTTTACAATTTTGATACTTGATTATAAAAAAAATTTCTTTTTAGATATATATGTGGCTCAACACACATGTTCATTATGTGATATTTTTTTTACATGCATATATATATATATATATATATATATATAATTTTGTATCTTGACCTTAAGTAGTAGAAAGAAGAAACTTTATGTTTTGTATCGTTTCTACGTTTTACGTTTCTATCACCCTTTTCCGTTTCTACGTAGTAACTCGAGTTTGACAACATTCGTCTAGAGCATGTATTTTAAAGATCTCTCGTGATTGATAGTGATGAATAACAAATGTTCCTGTTATTAATTTATTACCACTTTTCAGCCGTTGGAATTTTTAAAGAAAGAGAAAAAAAATAAAAAATAAATAAATACCTAATTTTTAAAGAAAGAGAAAAAAAATAAAAAATAAATAAATACATTTTTTGGTCCTCAGCAAATTTCATCATATCAGCTTTAGTCCCTAGTAAATAAAGAAATAAAATCGTGGTCCCTAAGAAAATTCAAAATGAACCCATTTAGTTGAAATCGTGGTCCCTCACAAATTCAAAAAAGACGCATTAATCCCTCAAAAGGATAACTAAAATGGGTCCACTTTGAATTTCTTAGGACCACGAATAGCCTTAGCCTTTTTATTTACTAAGGATTAAAGCGGGTATCGTTAAATTTGCTGAGGACCAAAAAATATATTTACTCAAAATTGATGTCCTACCGGTAATACATTCATATTAGATTGATAGTAAAAATATTTAGTAATAAGAATATCTTAACTCGAATAACAAAGGGAAAAGAAAAGAAATAAAGGATCACTTTTAAGATAAGAAAAAGTGTTTGTCATTTTAGACGACAAGTTATGTTATTTTAAGAGAGATAGACACAAAATAAATTTTATTATTTAAATTTTAAATTAAAAAAAATCACTCATTTTATCTCTCCTATAATTTTTATTTTTTTGTGTCTATCTCCTAAAATGAGATAACTTATTTCATTTAAAAAAAACACCAAGTCTTTAAGATATATGGAACAATCAATTAGGAAATTGCATTATAATGTCTTGACACACAGACAATTGGAAAAAAAGAAAAGAAAAAAAAAAAAGAATACCATTTTCTAGTAACGTTGGAATTTATAGGAAAATTTCTAGCAGGTTTGACATCATCTTCTTTCTTGGTTCTTTCTTCCCTCAGAGCTGCCCTTTGCATAAACTATGGCAACAAAACATTATAAACCCCAATTAGCTCCTCGACTGGCACACCAAATCTTAAAATCGCACAATAATCAGAAAAATCCCAAAAAAATAACCTCAAATCTCAGAACAAGATTCCAAATTGTCGGTTTCTTTGTCTTACCTTCAAGTTCTTCAACGTGCTGGAAAGCTCTCGCCTTGCCATTATAATTACCAAGTTGAAAATTTTAACTCTCTTTGAATTATCCCCTCTGCGTGGGCAGGAACAAGATTCTCCTTATTCTGCAAAATTCTCCAAGAGGAGGAACTAGGGTTCGTCAAAAGGTTTTTCGTTTTCTTTTTCTTTTTCTTTTTTTCCTTTTAATCTCACTAAAACTTCAAATGTCCGAAATGACTAATATATCCTAGAGAAAAATAAAATAAAAAAGAGAAGGCTTTGTTTTTCGGGTAAAAGAATGTTGGGCCGTAGGTCCGGCCCAATCACTTAAAGCCGTATAGCAATTACTAGTAGTAATTTTGACTTTTCACCAAATTCAATAGGAGAGTGTTTGAGCCTTTGAGGAGATACTTGGTTCCTTTGCAGGATTTTCTCCTTGTTACTATTTATGTCCTTTTTATTATCTTTTATTTTTCTCTAAAAAAAAGAAAAAGAACCTTTCATATGTTAAATTTTCATAATATTTTTGGGTTTATATTAGCGGGGGATGTGCTATTCATAAAACTGAATTATAGTAAGAATAATACAAGAGATGTTATATTTATTATTTATATTCTTACTATCAAATTTTAATCGTCGATTTCCGTTAATTTAATAATTATAATTTCTTAAATCAAATTTTTTAATTAATTTTTAATTTCCAATGAATTATAATTGTTAAATTGACAGAATCAACGGTTAAGATTTAATAGTACGAAAAAAGTAGTAAGTATAAACTTTCTCTAACAATTTTTGGTTTTTTATTATTAAAATAGGAAAGGTTATACTTACTACCTTTTTTTCTTACTATCTCTTACTACCAAATCTTAACCGTTAATTTTCGTCAATCTAACGGTTATAATTTATTGAAATTTAATAATTAATTAATAAGTGTGACCCAATAAATTATAATCGTTAGATTGACAGAAATCAACGGTTAAGATTTGGTAGCAAGAGATAGTAAGAAAAAAAGATAATAAGTATAATATCCCCCTGTTAAAATATCTTAAAGATATCTTACAATATTTGAAAATGATTTAGATTCATAAATTAGTTCAATTGATTTTTATATTTTTAATATTTTATTAATTTATTGGAGAAAGATATACTTACCACTAAAAAAGTTTACAACCTTTACAACTAATCTAATTACCATTGATTTCCGTCAATCTAACGGTTATAATTTATTAGAAATTATTGGGTCGCATTTATTAATTAATTATTATTTCTAATAAATTATAACCGTTAGATTGACGGAAATCAACGGTGATTAGGTTGGTTGTAAATGTGGTAAATGTTTTTGGCGGTAAGTATATCCTGCCCCATTTTATTTCCTTATTTTAACAATCTTTTATCAGCATAAATCAAAATTATTACAGGATACCAAAAAAAAATCAAAATTATTACTTTATTTTTTATCAAATCGAATCGCATCCCTCACAATTATATTAATATAATTTTATTTTAAGTTTTATATTATTTATTTTTTAGTTTTACAAACCTAAATAGAGATAATTACTTTATTTTTGTATCATATCAAATTACTTTAGTATTTATTTTCTTTCCATAAATAAATTCCTATAATTTCTACCGTTCCTATTAGCCTTTGATTTAGTATCAATGATTTCTATACCTCGAAAGGATTAATTGGATACCTTCAGAAAATTCAAAAACATCTACTATTATAAACAGAGATAATTACTTTATTTGCTTTAATCTTTCTACCGTGAATGTAGATAAGTTATCTATATTCGCTCTCAAAACGACGTCGTTTTGGATGAAAAAATTATAATGAAAAAGATTATTATAATCATGAAATATATTATAATTACAAAAATAACGTGATTTTCACCTCAAAATGACATCGTTTTGATCTCACTATAAATAAGTTATCTACGTTGATTGACTCTATACAAAAAAAGGAACCCTTACTTTATTTGTGTATCTTATCAAATCACTTAGAATCTTAGATATTGTTTTCTTTCCTTAACTAAATTCCTATTAGCCTTTGTGTTTCAAATCATCAGGTTTATCTTTTACCCTATAATAATATCGATTTTTAAATCTGTTTTATCGTTTCGATATTGATTTCCTATATTTTTGTTTCAAAAATCCACTATTATAAATAGGGATTGTAAAGCCTTAGTGTTTCAAACATCAGGTTCTTGTTTCTTAAACACACCATCGTTATAATCTAGTACACGGGAAATTTCTTAGTCTCATAGCTTCTTGAAAATGGTGTTCCTATAATTTCTACCGTTCCTATTAGCCTTTGATTTAGTATCATTGATTTCTATACCTCGAAAGGATTAATTGGATACCTTGAGAAAATTCAAAAACATCTACTATTATAAAGAGAGATAATTACTTTATGGCTTTAATCTTTCTACCGTGAACGCAGATAAGTTATCTACATCCGCTCTCAAAACGACGTCGTTTTGTAAAAAAATTAAAAAATTATAATGAAAAAGATTATTATAATCCTGAAATATATTATAATTACAAAAATAACGTGATTTCCACCTCAAAATGACATCGTTTTGATCTCACTATAAATAAGTTATCTACGTTGATTGACTCTGTACAAAAAAAAAGAACCCTTACTTTATTTGTGTATCTTATCAAATCACTTAGAATCTTAGATATTGTTTGCTTTCCTTAACTAAATTCCTATTAGCCTTTGTGTTTCAAATCATCAGGTTTATCTTTTACCCTATAATAATATCGATTTTTAAATCTGTTTTATCGTTTCGATATTGATTTCCTATATTTTTGTTTCAAAAATCCACTATTATAAATAGGGATTGTAAAGCCTTAGTGTTTCAAACATCAGGTTCTTGTTTCTTAAACACACCATCGTTATAATCTAGTACACGGGAAATTTCTTAGTCTCATAGCTTCTTGAAAATGGTGTTCCTATAATTTCTACCGTTCCTATTAGCCTTTGATTTAGTATCATTGATTTCTATACCTCGAAAGGATTAATTGGATACCTTGAGAAAATTCAAAAACATCTACTATTATAAACAGAGATAATTACTTTATGGCTTTAATCTTTCTACCGTGAATGTAGATAAGTTATCTACATCCGCTCTCAAAACGACGTCGTTTTGGATGAAAAAATTAAAAAATTATAATGAAAAAGATTATTATAATCCTGAAATATATTATAATTACAAAAATAACGTGATTTCCACCTCAAAATGATATCGTTTTGATCTCACTATAAATAAGTTATCTGCGTTGATTGACTCTGTAAAAAAAAGGAACCCTTACTTTATTTGTGTATCTTATCAAATCACTTAGAATCTTAGATATTGTTTTCTTTCCTCAACTAAATTCCTATTAGCCTTTGTGTTTCAAATCCTCAGGTTTATCTTTTACCCTATAATAATATCGATTTTTAAATCTGTTTTATCGTTTCGATATTGATTTCCTATATGTTTGTTTCAAAAATCCACTATTATAAATAGGGATTGTAAAGCCTTAGTGTTTCAAACATCAGGTTCTTGTTTCTTAAACACACCATCGTTATAATCTAGTACACGGGAAATTTCTTAGTCTCATAGCTTCTTGAAAATGGTGTGTTGTAAACGCTTCTTCTTTCTTTCTTCTTCTTCTTAAGATTCAAGCTATTTTGCATGGCTGAGTTGTAGTTCTTTAAACAGAAAATTCAAAACTTGAATGGATAGATGATTTGGTCTTTTATCAATGTCTTTGTGGTTATCTTGATAGTGTCTTCAACATGTTTAGGCATTTATCTATCTTAGAATGTTGACTGTTTGCTGGTTTATGAAATTCGTATATGATAGCTTTTCAAATTGTTATCTCGATACTACCCTCGCCCCAAAACCCAAACTTGATAAGATTGATGTGTTTGAGTTAACTCCTTTTTGTTTTTTTGTTTTCTTTTTTTTTGAAGGCTTCGCAGCAATATGATTGGGATGCACAGTATGAGATCTTTGAACATTTTTACTATTGCCTCTCTGTCTCCCGCATTGGAAAGGTCTGGTCATTGCTGCCGCTTGATGCATACTCTCTAACTTCCTTCTCAAACCAAAGATTTTATGATAATAATTTAAAAGGGATTAATATCTTACATGATAATTTTATCTTCTCTACACACATAAAAGTATGTATGAGAAAATACGATGTATGTAAGAGATAATTTTTATTTCCTACAACATGAGATACATAAAATCCTAATTTAAAAGAGGAAGGTTATACTTACAGTTTTTTTTTTTTACAATCTCTTACAACCATATCTTATCACCGTTGATTTTCGTCAATCAACGGTTATCATTTATTGTGAATTAATAATTAATTAATGAGTTTAATTTGCTAAAATGATAACCGTTGATTGGCAGAAATCAACAGTGATAAGATATGGTTGTAAGAGGTTGTAAAAAAAAGAGTTTTAAGTATAACCTTGCTCAATTTAAAATAGTGAATAATGTTTCTAATGTTGTAGAAGGTAAATTTTGTTTTTTACACATACATAAAAGTGCATGGGCTATGTGAAGAGAAGAAAAAAGAAAAAGAAAACTTAGACTCACACACTTTTAGGTACGTTGTAGAAGATAAATTTATTTTCTAGAACAATAAGGAAAGTTATCCTCGTAATAAGGTTCCTTTGATCAAGAACAAATGGATTTACTACATATTTGCCAATTCACCTTAAAGATTGGTTATTATTTTCTCTTCTTAACTATTATTAGGGTTGGCAAAACGGGTTTACCCAGCTCAACCCGACCCAACCCGCGTTCAACCTGAAAAAAACGAGTCGGGTTAGGGTTGGCTCGAAAAAATGGAAAAAATAAAATAAAATTTCATTGATGCTATAATTTCTAAATTTTTTCTCTAAATTATTAATTCATTCAATACAAAGACGTTATACAGATAAACCATAGAAAATTCCTTTTGCATTTGGACTTGGACTTATTGGCAGTTGACACCACATTCACATTGTCACACATACTATAAAAAAAGTATTTTCGTTTGGGTCTTTGGAATTGGGATTTTAGGTTTTAGCTTTCCACTTTATCTTCATTAATTTTTGTACTTTTATATTAAAAAAAAAAATCATAACCCGCGAGCCAACCCGTTTCACCCGTGGGTTGGCTCGGTTTTTTTCGAGCTAAAATGAGTCGGGTTAACTCGAGGTACTAACTCATTTTTACTAACCCAACCCGGCTCATTTTAGTCGGGTTACGAGCCAACCCGAGCCTAAATTGTTGAGCATTCTTCATAAGCACATACATTAGGCAAACGACTCTTATATTTTTAGATGTTTATTTATTCCTTGCATGTGATTCCTAATCTCAAAACTAAATCTGACTTCTGATGATTTTTTGCAGGAAAATTTAGAAAAAGGTGACAAAAGTATGTATACCAACAGCTTACATTTTATTCTTTAATATGAAATATCTGAAATTTTGATAGCTTTTTATGCCTATAAAATTGCTAATGCAAATTCTTTTTGCCTCCAGTTATCATGCCCCCTTCAGCTCTAAATCGCCTTGGTAAGTCTATATTTTTGTCTGCTTTCAACAATTAGACTCTTCCTTTTCTCCTCCTAAATTAATGGCTTATACTTGTAAAATATTTCCAGCATCTATGCGAATAGAATACCCAATGTTATTTGAACTGAGAAACACTTATGCTGAAAGAGTTACTCATTGTGGGGTAATGGAATTCATTGCTGATGAAGGGGTCATACATATACCAAATTGGGTATGTGATTTCCCTTCCTTATTTATATCTTTCTTTTCCTTAATGAATTAACCATTTTTATTCACACCTTACTATTTTTCGTTGTTGTTATTGTCAGATGATGGAAAATCTGCGCCTACAAGAGGGAGACATTGTGATTCTGAGAAACATCTGCCTTCCAAAAGGAGCATTTGTGAAGATGCAGCCTCATACCAAGGATTTTTTGGATCTCTACAATCCAAGAGCCATGTATGAATACCATATATAGTTGCACTTTCCACAAATTTCATAATTGTATGTCAATTAACATTTTCTTTCTTTCTATTGGTCATTTGCAGGTTAGAGACTTCCCTCAGGAGTTACTCATGTCTAACAACCGGTGATACTATAGTGCTTGATTATAACAACAAGAAATATTACATTGACGTACTTGAAACTAAGCCCTATTCTGCAATAAGTATAATTGAAACAGACTGTGAAGTTGATTTTGCCCAACCTTTAGATTATACAGAACCTGAGAAACAGTTGCCGGAAAAGGAAAGTCCAGAAGGTTGTGATCCTTTTTTCGTTTATTTGAATATGCTTTTAAGCATTTCCTCAGTTTTTTTTTTTTTTTTTTTTTTTTAATTGTAAAATTTATTAGAAGATTCTGAGTTTACATATTTTTCTTTGCATTTCAGTTGAAGACGAGCTAACAACAAAGAAAGTCCAGTTAATTCCATTCAGTGGTTGTGGAAGACGTTTGGATGGCAAACCCTCAACACAATCTGCTGAACAAATGTCCTCTTCAATGCTAAAGCAGCAACAGACTGAAAATGAAACCAAGAATTCAAATTCTAAATCATCAAATACTCGTTCACGTAGAACTTCTGGAAAGCTGGTATTTGGGTCAAATGCAAACATGCCCAAGATTCAAACACCACCAAAGGTTAGTCTTATTTATCTATAGTAATCTTTGTGGAGAAACAGAGAATTGTCCTCAGATTATATAGTTCATTGACATGATTTGCCAATTTTTTTCTTATCAGGCTTCTGCGGAAAGCACAAGTGAAGAGTCATCTCAGAAGGCAGAAGAGCCAAAATTCCAAGCTTTCACGGGAAAGAAGTACTCATTAATGAGTTGATCCATGTTTAGGCGACATGACTTAGAGCTTAGTCCGGATGTCACTCTTGCAGATCCATGCTTTTTATTATATCATTTGTTGTCTCGGGAAGTCAAAAAATTTCACATTAAACGTATAACAATATGGGGCTATATGACTACATCTGCATTTATTTTAGTGTTTTTTTTTTTGGAGTTTGATGCAAGTTTTAATTGATTTACTTTGCCTTTGTTACAACCTCATCATTGCAATATTTACCAGTAGCCTGCCAAAGAAATTTATAATCGTGCATGCGCTTATAAGAAAGTTAGTATTAACTGGATGCATATCACTTCGAATGGAGAACCTCATGATTTTGCTAGCGTAACTTCTCATTGTAGTCCTTGATAGAATATTTCCACTGATATAGGAGAAAAGAATCGGGTTCTTATACCACTACCTTTCATTGATTTTCTCTTCTCTTTTTGGTCACCAACCACTACCTTTAATCTAATGCGTCCACCCGACCTCAGATTATTGTAGTAGTTGAAGCCTTTATAAGGGACTAGACTCGAACATTCATGGTAGTATATTTCATGTATCCTGATACAAAAGGCTTGCGTACTTATGGTAGGAAACGCATTAGAGGAATAAAAACCAAGTAAAGCTGACGTGGTTCAAAATATTCTAGAACTTGTTGGAGAATCATTCGGTTAGGGGTTGTTAGTAGGCAAGTAAGGAAAGTAGTGACGTGTTAGTTTGTTGAGAGAAGTATTAGAGCAAGGCTAGGAGAGAAGGGAAGGCATTGGAAAAGTTAGACTTGGAATGGGAGAGCCTGCACCTCTCGAAAGTGCTGAGTGAATTCCTTTTTTTTCCGTTTAGTTGTCATTTCTGTTAATGCATAGAAGAGAGTAATTAGAAGTTCCTTCATTGTAATGCCATTTTTAGTTCTTCAATATATAGAAAAAACCTGGAAAGATTCCTTTCTGGACCAAAAGATTGTTGAGTTTCTGTTTCTTAAATTGATAAACTGAGTCAGATCTTATCAATTGGCGCCGTCTGTGTCTCTTGTTGGGGGTGTATGGTCTTGACGCGCAATATGGATGCAAGAATGGATGCCATTGAGGAACGTTTCCGTAGGAACGAAGAACTCGCTGACGAACGTCATCGTGAAATTCTTCAGTTACTATAGATGGATCGACAAAACGGAGACGGCTCAGCTCAAGGTGGACGTCGTCGCCGTGGGCGCCCTCGGCGGCGAAGTCCCACTCCAGTCGATTCGGAGTATGGAGACAATAGAGAAGTCCCAGTGGTAGACAGACGAGCACTGCGTCTCGACATGCCCAGATTTAGTGGGGATGATGTATATTCTTGGTTGACGAGGGTGGAACGCTATTTTCTGGTCAATCGCATTGGAGATCAAGACAAGCTTGATGCGGTCCTGATCGTTTTGGATGGTGTGGCTCTCAATTGGTTTCAGGTGTGGGAACGTAATCACCCCAATGCTGTTTGGGGGGAATTCCGAGAGGAGGTACTCGAGCGGTTCACGGCGGAGACGTTGGGAGGTCCATACCAGGAGCTAATGAATCTTCGACAAACGGGCAATATCGCGGCCTTTCGCGCAGAGTTCGAACGGATCATCAGCCCTCTTCATTATGCTGATGACCACATGTTAAGGGAGATCTGGCTCCATGGCTTGAACGAAGGTTTAAGAATTGAACTATTACAGAAGAACGTAAGCGATTTGGGAGAGCTGATGAAGGAGACGACTGCGTTAGAGAAGCGTAATCAATCTTGGGTTCACGATGGGTTTGGGCTAAGCACGTTTGGGCCCAATACGAAATGGGGTGGCTTAAATCGCATTAATCCGCCCAATAGACATGCCATACAACACTCAGCTGCCAAACACGTGACTCAAGTCAGTCATTCTGTCGGTGGGGGAGACACGCGGGCAGGAGCGTCCTCAACGGGGATGGACACGCGTAACACAATTAATATGTCTGGGAACCCTAATCAACCGATGGGAGCTTCTCAAGGATCAGAGAGTGTTGGTAGCCATGCTTCAAAGGTGGAGAGTCGTCGTCTTCCTCAGGCGGAACTTCACGAGCGTTCACGCAAGGGGTTGTGTTTCAAGTGCGGAGACAAATGGAACCCCACCCATCGTTGCAAAATTCCGCAACTGAACCTCCTAATTGTTGAAGACGAAGAGGAAGGAGATGACGACCACCCACTCAAACAAGTTGACGGGGGTGAGGTTGCGAGTCCTACAGAGGACGAAGCCCATTTTCAGATGTCAACATTTAGCCTACTGGGGCTTTCTTCGAACCAAAGTATGAAGTTGTGGGGGTCCATACACGGAGAACGGGTGGTGATGATGGTGGATAGTGGGGCCTCGAGAAACTTTGTGGAACGTACAGTGGCAGAACGGCTATGACTGATGGTGGAGGACACACCTACCTATAACGTGGTTGTGGTGGGGGATGGCTACAAGGTTCAATGCCAGGGGGTTTGTCGAAATGTCAAAATTGATGTTCAAGGAGCCCATTCCTGTCATGACTTATATCTTTTTGAATTAGGGGGAGCTGAGGTTATTTTGGGGCTGGATTGGTTGAAGAGTTGGGGAGAAATGAAGGCTGATTTTAGCAATTTAATTCTAAGTGTTCGGGTGGATGGGCAAGAGGTCACGTTGCGAGGGGATCCAGTCCTGTCGAACACTACAACGTTGACGACTCTGCGTTCCATGGTCAAAGCTTTATCTGAAGCACAACAGGGGTTTGTGGTGGATCAACATTGGCACAAGGAAATAAAGTCAGACCCGGGGAGGGTGTGGCCTGAACTTGAAGCGCTACTGCATGACTTTGATTCTATTTTTCACGAACAACAAGGGCTTCCACCAAAGAGACGACAGGACCATGCCATCACGCTCAAGGCGGATAGTGTTATACCAAACATACGGTCGTACAAGTATCCTTACTATCAGAAAACAATCATTGAAAAACTGATGTCTGAGTTACTGATTTCAGGTTTAATAAGGCCTAGTGAGAGCCCATACTCTTGTCCCATAATTTTGGTGAGAAAAAAAGATGGAAGTTGGCGAGCTTGCGTAGACTACCGAGCTCTGAATAAAATCTTTGTTCCAGTCAAATTTCCCATACCTGTAATTGAAGAGCTTTTGGATGAATTGGGGGGATCTACGGTATTCTCCAAATTAGATCTCAAGTCAGGATATCACCAAATCAGGATGAAGGAGGAGGACATACCAAAGACAGCCTTCAGCACGCATGAAGGCCATTATGAGTATGTGGTGATGCCATTTGGGCTCACCAATGCCCCTTCCACCTTCAACTCCTTGATGAATGAGGTTTTAAAACCTTTTCCCCGTAAGTTTGTCTTGGTGTTTTTTGATGACATCCTCATCTATAGCAGCAGCCACTCAGAACATGTACAACATCTACGGAGGGTCTTGGAGGCATTACGAAACAATTGTTTAGAGGTTAATTGCAAGAAGTGTTCTTTTGCCTTGCAACAAGTGGAATATTTGGGTCACCTTATCTCTCGACGAGGTGTATGTGCTGATCCAAAGAAGGTGGAAGCTATGCTACAATGGCAAATTCCAACGAACCTTAAGTCATTACGAGGATTCTTAGGCCTCACAGGCTATTATCGTAAGTTTGTGCAAGACTATGGGAAGATAGCCAAGCCTTTGACCGACTTGTTGAAGAAGGATGGGTTTCTTTGGAATGAACAAGCTCAATTAGCATTTGACACACTCAAGATGGCCATGACCACTCTCCCAGTACTTGCCTTACCTGACTTCACTAAAACCTTTATGGTAGTGACGGATGCCTCTGGACGTGGTGTGGGAGCCGCACTAATGCAAGAGGGTAGACCCATCAGTTTCATTAGCCAGGGTTTTTCTCAACGGGCTCAGGCGAAATCCATCTATGAGAAGGAACTTATGGTTATTGTCTTCGCGGTTCAGAAGTGGAGACCGTACTTACTGGGTCAGAAATTTATCATTAAAACAAATCAGAAAAGCTTAAAATTTCTGATGGAGCAACGCGTATTGGGGGAAGAACAGCAAAGATGGGTTACCAAGCTTTTGGGATATGATTTCGAGATACAGTATCAACCAGGAAGAGAGAATGTAGTGGCAGATGCGCTCTCTCGTCAGGAACAGTTCTCAGCTCTAACTTGTGTAGTTCCAGTAGGGGATGCTACCTTTGAAGCAGAGTTACAAGCGGATGCTAACCTGAGGGGCATTATACAGGATTTCCTGGCTGATCCTAGTTATCATGCTGACTTCACAATCAGTGGTGGCCGTTTATTCTTCAAAGGAAGGTTAGTGTTCCCACGTTCTTCCCAATTCATCCCTCTCATATTGGAAGACTTTCATAACTCTTGTGTTGGGGGTCATTCTGGTTTCTTGTGTACTTATAAACGAATTGCAGCACTAGTGTACTGGGAAGGGATGAGAAAACAGATCAAAGATTTTGTGGCTTCTTGTTCTATTTGTCAACAGAATAAAAGCCAAAACCTGTCTCCAGCAGGCCTTCTACAGCCTTTACCAATACCAACTCAAGTTTGGGTGGACATTTCAATTGACTTCGTGGGCGGTTTGCCTAAGGCTCAAGGAAAAGATACAATTTTGTGGTAGTGGACCGTTTATCCAAATTTTCTAATTTTATTCCTCTCTCTCACCCGTATACAACAAGGGAGGTGGCTTTATTATTTATCAAAGAGGTGGTACGTCTTCATGGTTTCCCTGCTTCTATTGTCAGTGATAGGGACCGGGTGTTCCTAAGCTCCTTCTGGACTGAACTCTTTAAAAGTTAAATGTAAAAGAATACGTTATGTATTGATCTGTGTCAAGGAGTTACAATATATAGAGACCCTAATGGGCTTAAGTGTAAGGCCCAAACCTAATCCAAACCTAATCCTAATACAGTCAGAATACTGTCAGACTATTTACGGATAAGACAGAATCCAATCATATCTAATCAAATCTAATCATATCATATCTAATATTCTAACACTCCCCC